GAATCCACTTTCTTCCTGCTCGCTTTCTTCATTGTCCCACTTTCACACCTGTACGTAGGAATGGGGAATACCAAGGCATGAATTAGCTTGCTCTTGGTCGCCAGTGGCACATCCTCGCACTCAAGACTTTTTTTCCTAACTCTTTCGTGGCAGCTGTTCCCAGTCTCAGTCTTGCATGACAAGATGTGAAGCTAAACAGCAGAAGAGATGGGCAAAAGAGAAGCGTGAGGATTTGTATCCTGCCAATTTCAGTCGGGAAAGCAGCCCCGCTTCCCAGCCCCTGCGGCATCCGGAATGCCCTCGCTCATGAACGCGTCACGTACGGTCAGTTGTTCACAGGCTTAGGAGCCCCTCAGTATTGGCTCCTCCTGATCACCACCATTTATTTCAGCCGAAGAAGCAGAAGTAAGCTTGGGCCGTCTCACGACTCCCTCAAAGTTTTCTTGGCCTTCTGCCCAAACTGAAATTGTCTACCCCTCTCCTGCCACTTCATTCCGTTAAAGTGGTTAAAAAGTATGGGAGGTGGCGGGTTAGACTCCTTCCGTAGCAGCGGCTTTTGTGATGGCGCCTGTTACCCTTTCCTAAAGCGCCATAAGTCCCCGCAGACTCAGCAAGCTTGGGGCCCCCTTAGGTCCAGAAGATACATCATCTCTCTCCCCATGGCCTGAGTTATGAAAGCACCACCTGTGATCCCTATAAGATGGCAGAAGCCGGTAAAAAGTGGTTGGTTCCTTAATTCTTGGAAGTGAGGGTTCATCTGGAGTTGCTTGGCCCTTACTCCGTACAGAGCCAGTTTGGTGCAGTGGTTAAGTGCGCGGACTCTAATCTGGGAGAGCTGGGTTTGATTCCCCACTCCTCCACTTGCACCTGGCTGGATGGCCTTGGGCAAGCTGTACCTTTGATAAGAGCTGTTCTTGAAAAAGAGCAGTTTCTGTCAGAGCTCTCTCAGCCCCACCTACCTCACAGGGTGTCTGTTGTGGGGGTGGGGAAGGGAAAGGAGTTTGTAAGCCGCTCTGAGACACCTTTGGGTAGTGAAGGGCGGGGTATAAATCCAATCTCCTCCTCCTCCTCCTCCTCCTCCTCCTTCTTCTTCTCCGTTCCAACCATGAATGTGGATTCTTTGATAACTCAGTTGACAGTCTTTCATTTGAGAGAGAACAGATACGTTTTGACCCTCCATCGAGCGACTTCTAGACCCTCTCAGGCTGCACCCTTTCCTGCAACCCTTTCCTCCTGGAAATATCTTTGTGACTCTGCTTGGTATCCTCAGTCAGTGATTGAGTTTGAAAGGGTGCTTCCACCCTATCGATTCTGCAGTTGTTTCCGTGGCCTTTGATACTATTGATCACAGGATGCTAATTACACCTCCAACTGTGGCATGTTAGGTTTTCAGGGGGCTCCTCTTAAGTGGCTCCGCTCATTCCTGTTGTTCAGATTGCCTTTTTGGATGTTCCCAGTAGAGTGCTTGTAGGCTTTCTCCCTTCGTCTTCTCTCCACGCAAGGCCACAAGGTGTTTGTCACAGTTTGCCCTCGGTACAGTGAAGAAGCCTCCACCTCTCTGTCCTTTGCATATGGTCTCTGCAGTCTTTGTCCTTTATGGAATGTTTAGAAGAGGTTGGGATCTGGATGTGGTTAAGAGGACTGAGATCGAACAGAAGGCCAAGTGAGAAGCTGACTTTGCACATTGTATGTGTTTGGTGGAGGGAAGAGAATTGGGATTCAACACCCTGATGGAACTCAGCTCCCTTTGGTCTTTGTGATGCTCTTTGCTAGAACTCCGCATATCTGAGAGGTTTCCTCCACCTCTGTATTCTCGCACAATCACTGTATACAAGTTTTTCTTTTCTTAATGTTCATTGTTTCAAGAAATTAACGGTGGGTGTCACTTCCCATACAATATAAGGTCAGGATCAATGTTCCCTCTAAACTGTGGGGTCTTGTGAGCAAAAATTCTGCTTTGTGAGCTCCTGGCATTAAAGCTGTGAGTGAGTGATTTGGCTACTGCGTAAATTAGTTTGCTCTGGAGCCGCACCGTCCTTTCCGGAGCTAAGACAAAAATGTGTGAGCCGGAGGCTAAAAAACTGTGAGCTGGCTCACACTAACTCAGCTTAGAGGGAACACTGGTCAGCATGGCCGTTTTGAAATTGTAGTCTGCCTCCTGCCCCCGGTGATTACCCCTCAGACTTGTGTGACAGCACCTGTATGCTTTATTGGTTTGCAAATGGGAGGGAGAATAAAACCACAAGTACATATGAGAGAGTCCTATTAAAGTATAGTTATGAATTCACCTGATTGGCTGCGCTGGTCAAATCAGAACAGAGGCTACAATCTTCTTGTATGTCTTTTCCCATATGGGAGAAGGGCTTTGTAATTCCCAGCATGATATGGAACTGACAAGGCATGTAAGTGATGCTATGAAGAGTGGTAGTGAAACTGAGGTACCCCAGTGGCCTCCGTGGATGAGAGCGGACTCGTCTGTAGAAACAGATGTACAGTTTCGGAGGTCTGCTAAAAACAATTTTCAGAGCCATAATCTTTCCATCATACAGTGTAAGGGGAAGTCTGTGCTATGTTGTCTTTAGTGTCCACATAAAGCTTTGAATATAGCATTTAAACCACACGTGATTGGTTTTTTTTCCTAATAATATATTTCAGTTCAAATATTTGTTGAGATTGGGATATAAAATTAATATGAGAGACTTTGAAAAATTTATTTATTCAGTGTAATTACAAATATAAATATACTAAACCAAGTCAAGCTCTGTAGGGCATTGGGATTTTTTCCTGGAAAGCTTTGACTCATATTTTTCCAGAAAATTCTCATCACTGGTCTTGTGGCACCTTAAAGAGCTTACTGAGGCATATGTTTCCATGAGTCAGAGCCTACTTCATCAGATGCATGAAGTCTTAACATTAAATGGGCAGAGAAACGTCTACCCAGAGCTACAACCAGTGTGTGTCTGTATGGGGGGGGGGGGATTATAAAGAAAGATCAGTTTCTTAAGACAAAGTATGTTATAGAACAAATGTAAAAACGGGATCTGGTCAAAGAGTAAATGAGCCACGCAAAAGTGGGTGTGGGTCATTCCCAACTGTTAATGAACTGGCAAAATGGGATGAACCTGAATGGTGTACACAAACCTGTAAAAAGGAACAGTTCCTTTTTGTTGCAAGTCTTATAATGAATTGAGTGGTAGGCAGAACAGTCTTCAAGTTACCTGATTTCAGTCTCCATCTTTTGTAATGCTGAGTGCATGTAGGGCATGTAGCCCTGTCAGGTCCCGCAGCTTCCTTGGTATCCTGTCGCCGCTTGGAGCACTGTCGGAGATCTTGATGGGCAGCTCCGGACTGGCCCAAACTTACAAGGTGTCTCTAGTGGTTACAGCTCCCTGGCAAGAGTAGGTGAGCCCAACACACTTAAAAGCTGGCAGGACCAACAACGGGCAGATGGATGCTGACAGCGGACAGTCTCCTTGTTAGTCCAGTTTTCAAGGGGTCTTTGGGACTAAACAATCAGAAAGTGCTTTTGCAAACGTTTTCTCCCAAAGAGTCCAGACCAGTGAACTGTTTCCCCAAGATCATGTGCAGTGTTCCCTCTAAGCTGAGTTAGTGTGAGCCAGCTCACAGTTTTTTAGCCTCCGGCTCACATATTTTCATCTCAGCTCAGGAAGGATGACTCCAGAGCAAGCTAATTCATGCAGAAGCCAAATCACTCGCTCACAACTTTAATGCCAGTGGCTCACAAGGTAGAATTTTTGCTCTCAAGACTCCACAGCTTAGAGGGAACATTGATCATGTGTGGTTTTTATCCTCTGTGGTTCTGGTCTTGAGCGCAAAGCAGGGTGCAGAGGCCAGGGCATGCAAGGCGTCGGGAGGGCTCTCTCTCCAGTTCTTTCCCTTCTCCTCCAGAGTGATTCTCAACATGCTCTTCTAGCAGTCAGGTCCTTAATACTTACGTGATGTCCCCCATCTTGAAAGAATGGTATGTTTGGTTAGCCGAGACCCTCAGTCATAGAACTGGCTTTTTCAACGTCTGTGATATTATTTTAATACGGAAGCTCAGGAGAAAGGCAAGCATCTAAATGGGGTGAATAAACCTATGGAAGTTCGGCATTATACTTCTTAGGTCATGTTCTTGAATCTACCTCCCCAAAGTTTGGCCTCTTACGGAATTCCTTTTGCCTAAACCAAGGACATTTCCCTCCTTTCAGCACTTTTCCCTTCTAGCTGATGGGGAAATAGCAGGGCCTTTTCCCAGGGAGTTCACTGTGACTTTTTTGCCTATATTGTAGACAAGCCTATTGCTTTGTTGGTTATTGTTTGTTAATCATTGCGTTCGTCACCACTCAGACTGAAAATAGCTATCTACAGTCTTTTGCCAACTGGGAATGCTGTCCTAGGTTAACCTCTGAACACTGGCAGAGTGCAAATTAAGCATCCTGAATGCATTCGTTTTAACATACCTGCAGGGTGAGGTGTCGTGTCACTGCATAGAAAACGATGCGAGTACTGTTGTATGAGACAAGCAAAATCATAAGTCATTTATGAACCGCTAGTCTTCCCATTCTTGAGAGTCCCTTGGACTGCAAGAAGATCAAATCAGTCCATCCTAAAAGAAATCAACCCTGACTGTTCCCTGGAAGGCCAGATAATGAAACTGAAGCTCAAATACTTTGGCCACCCAATGAGAAGGGAGCACTCCCTGGAGAAGAAGGCCCTGATGCTGGGGAAGATTGAAGGTCAAAGAAGACGGGGACGGCAAAGGATGAGGTGGTTGGACAGTGTCATTGATGCAACGAACATGAAACTGAGCAAACTTCAGAGGACGGCGGAAGACAGGAAGGCCTGGTGTCATCTGGTCCATGGGGTCGCGAAGAGTCGGACTCGACTGTGCTACTGAACAATGAACAACAAAAGTCTTCCCATTATGTCCGTTTTTGTTTTTTGAGCATAGGAAGATTGAGGCTCGGTTTTAATCTTGTGTTTTCTCGTTATTCCAGGAGCAGCAGTTGAAAAAGATCAGAGCAAAGCAAAGGCACCTTGAAGCTGTCCTTGGGAAAAAGACTCCCGATGGAACAAACGATGCTGAATGGGAGGAAATTGAAGGTGAGGAATGAGAAAAACAGCTCATTCTAACCATCTCTCCTTATAATAATTGTGTTTTGGGGTGGCCACCGTCCCATGGGGTGGCGAGAAAAAATGCGCTCCCTCAGCCATTTGCCCGTCAGCTGCCGCTCGGGGCAACTGGCATGCCATTGGCTGGGGGGGGAGGGATGAGCAGCCTGGAATGGGTGGCGAGCAGCCAGTGGAGAGACGGACGAGGCTGTGGTGGGCGAGAGGTGGCAAGGCAGCCGTGTCGCGCTTCCCACGCTTGGCGCGGCCTGGGCCGGGGTAGCTGCGCGCCCTTCTTCAGGGATGGGGGGTTCCCTCAGCCGGCCCCGCTTCCCTCGCCCGGCGCGGGGAAAGACCTCCGAGGTGGCCGAGTGGGAGCGGCTGCCCAGAGACCCCCGCCCCCTCCTCGCCCGCACGCTGAGGCAAGCAAGCTGAGAAGGGGCCGGGCAGCCCTTTGCGGCCCTCCCGCCAAGGCGGCTGGGCAGGAGAGGCCAGCCAGAGCCCCCTCACCCCATCCTGGCCCAGCCACCGAGGCCATCGAGCCAGCAGGGGCTCAGGGAGCCCTTTCAGGCCCTCCCCCCCCCCGGTTCTCCTGCCCTTCCACCCAGGCAGCTGCCCAGGAGAAGCCACTCAGAGG